CTTTTGGTCTCCCTAACCCCATTTCTCTACCTTTCCCCTCACGACCCCAATACAGAAAATTATACATCTCTCTCTCTCTTCTTCTTCTGCTTCCTTCCTCCCTCTCTCCATCCTTCCCTCCATGTCTCTCATCACTAACTCCTTCTATACAAGTGTGTGTGTGTGTGTGTGTGTGTGTGTGTGTATTATTATTTCTAGTTCCCAGAGGAGAAAACAAAAGTTCAAAAGCCCAAAACTGGGAACCAAAGACCACACAGCCAGGAGGAAGAGGTATATAGAGATGATATCAAACTGCCCAGATTGCAGGGCCATTTAGGGGCTCTCTAAGCCGCAGTGGGCTTCACACCGGCAGCTTTGTGCAGCAGGCACGGCAGGACGCTGGAGCTCACTTTGCCAGCGGACAAGGAAAACCAGCAGTGCCTGGAGTTTAAGCCGCCCCTCGTCACCACCATCTGGGGGTGTGGGCATTAAGAGCCCTTAACTAATGATTGACAGGTGTGAGGGCATAAAAACTACAGCTCCCTGGCCCACAATGGGGACAGCTCTCTTGCATGACTCCGCTGTCTTCAGATCTGCCCCAGTGATTAAGCCAGCTGACTCTAGACAGGCTTCTCTTCACGCTGCACCCACTGTGGCCTCCGCCCCTTCCTGTCCCTCTTCCCTACTCCAGGATCAGTGTTCCCTGGAAGCCCTCCGAATGAACCCTTTCACACTATAGCAGTTCAGAACAGGCTTTCTCAAAACACTTCTTCACTTTGGCATGTGAATTACTGTATTTTGCCGTGTGTAGCATGTATTTTGCCGTGTGTAGCATGCCGTGTGTAGAATTACTGTATTTTGCCGTGTGTAGCTTATGTAACTTGTAGTTCTACAGGGAAAATAAGGTCTTCCAGGCTAATTGGTCAACCAGCTCCTACACACAGAGCTAGCACTCATTAAAATTTGTTATGTTGGATAAAAGGTGCACCCACATTTTTGGCCCAAACTGGCAGGAAAAAAGTCTTTCATTTTAACTTTTTAATTCAATTGTTTATTTATTTGTATTTAGAAATAAATATATAAATACTTATTTATATTTATTTTATTTATTTATATTTAGAAATGTATATTTATATTTATATTTAGAAGATTCAATACAATTTTTAAAACAAGAAATACATGAAACTGATTATCATATTCCAGGGTATTCTTTTTCATACAAATATGATTATTGCTTTCTAGAGTTATGCTTTTAACACATAAACATAAATAAAAGAATTAAAAACATTTGTATAGATTAGGAATTAGTCCTACCCATGTACAATGCACATCCTTATTTTTCCCTCAAAAATAAGGGAAAAAAAGTGCACATTTTACATGGCAAAATACAGTACTGGTATTTTGAGCTGAAGGTAATCGAGAGTCTGTAGGCTCACAAGGAATTTTTACCTCTCCCTTAAATAATTTGAATTAGGGGCCTTGCCTATAAGAGTTGTCACCAAAAATAACTTCTTACGACTTATCTATAGGACAGGGAAAACTACTAATTACTGAACATCTACTCTTCTTATTGTCCCTCTGAAACCTCCAAGGCACACTACCTTATCCTGAGCTCAAAATGGCATATATACTTATTTTAACTTTCTGTCCCTGAGCCTCCTATGTATGTGTACATATGTAATTAAATTTGATTATTTTTTCTTGTCAATCTGTTTTGTGTAGATTTGATTATTAGACCAGCCAAAACAAAAACAAACAAACAAAAAAGACGAAAACAAAAACATCAAAAAGTAGGGGAAAGTTTCCTTCTCCCCCCACAACACAAACCGTCATCTCAAGCACTGCCCTTGAAGAACCCGGCGAAGGCAAAGTAAATGCAGAATTCAAACCCAGCCCTGTCAGACCTAGTTTTTTTCCACTACATGTGCCCGAGACGTTACTGCAGTCCTGTGGGACTGCTCATCGTTACTTTTACAGTCATTTAAAAAATCAAATGACCGCTATAGCTTCGGGCACTCTAAAGACACATATGTTCAAACTCTCTGTGCTTGCTTATTTCTTCTTCGCACTGCAATTTATGTTTTTAAGACAAAAGACCTTTGAATATCTTAGCAAAATAAAATAAGTTGACCCAAAGAAACAAGGTGTTTTTTTTTTAACTTGTTCTCATAATTGCCCTATGCCTGGATCCATAATTAAATGGACTTTATCCTTTTAACGTGATCCCTTTTAAAAATAATAAGCCAGTCAGAGAAAGACAAGTACCATATGATCTCACCTATATATGGAATCTAATGAACAAAATAAACTAACAAACAAAATAGAAACAGACTCATAGACAGAAAACAGATTGACAGCTGTCAGAGGGCAGAAGGGGTGGAGCGCTGGGTAAAAAAGGCGAAGGCATTAAGAAAAAGAAAGAAAAAAAACCTCATAGACACAGATCACGCAGGTGATTACTGGAGGGAAAAGGGGATGGGTGTAGGTAGAAGAAGGAACAGTGCAAATAAATGATGAGGAAAGGAGACTTGACTTAGGGTGGTGCACACACAACACAACATACAGACGATGTATGTCACCCCCAATAAATTCAATACAATTTTTTAAAAAAGAATATATATATTTTACTCTGTAAGTAATATAAACTACATTAGAGAAATTTCAGGGGAAACACCTAGGAGCAAAAACATCCAAGTACCCTAATCCAACCATTTACAAACTATTTCCTTCTAGGGTTTTTTTTTTAATTCATGTGACTTGGTTGCAGTCCTGCTCCAAACACCTGGATCTCCTGCACGCTTTCCTTCAGCCCAGTTTTCCATGGTGTAACACAGGCCTGTGGTTGTCATTTTTAATGGTTAGACATTGTTCTATCAGAAGATGTACTGTAATTTGTGGCCATTTTGATTGTTTTTGATAGTTCGCTATTTCAGGTAAGATTGTGTTGAACAACTATGTGACTATACCATTTTGTTTGGCATCTATCTTTTTTACAAATTTCACATTATTTCTTTAAAAGAGATTTCCAAATCTTAAATTATCAAATAAAAGAATAGTATTTATGTACATTGCCACATTTTTGTCCAGTCCCCCCACCCACTATAATGTTTACCAATTTATAACTTAAGCCATCCTGAAACAAAGGTTAATCCAAGTTATGGTGACTTGTGTTTAGATAAGTTCTGATCTAATTAAATGAATTCCTTTTAAATTCCTCCATTTAGTACAAAGGTCTTCAAATCTTTGTTAGAGTTATATTGAACCTATGGCATTCTTTTTGACAAAGAATATGGTTCCTTTATTAATTCTAAGCTTTCTAATTGCTAAGCATTTCAAGGAGGAATTAGTCATTGGGCTTGAGTTGCCTAATTGAATCATTTTCCATACCACTTAAACACAAGTCAGGACATTTCAGTGGCTAATTTGGGCTGACTTGGGTGTGTATTCTGTGAGCGTCTCTGCTTACCTACATCTGCAAACGCAGAGAGACAAGATAATCAAGCAAGAGAGAATGCCTGTTTTTTCCATTACCTTGAAGTTTGCCTGAGTGCATATTTGGACCTCCAGGAGAACATGTCCCATTAGTGTCAACCACGCATTGCTAGTGATTTTTTTTAAACATGCTTCAGTGTTCTGTCTCCTTTCACACAAGTGGAAAAGTACAAAAAATAAATATGACCTAGAATTATTCTGAAAACCATGGATACTTGCTGCTACACAAAGAACTAAAGGCTAGACTATTAGTATGGCTTTCTACCCAGCCCACCCAGAGAATTCTAGTGAAAAAATAGAAAATCCAGCCAGTCCTCTGGTATCACCCGCATGATCCCAGACACTCATGTAAATAAATTTGATCCCATTGATCAGCTGGTTTTCTACCTTTGAATTGCATGGAGTTGTTTTTTGTTTTGTTTTCAATGGAGCTTCTTTTCGACAGCACCTCAAAACTCAAACAAGTGCCAACTTGCATCTCGTTGTAAGAAAAAATTTCATCATTAGATTAAGGTAAAAGGCAAAATAAACATGTCACTGTATAATCACATTTCTCTATGAGTTGGGAAAACCTATTTGCTTTCATCTACACCCTGTGTTTGCCTTTACTCCCAGCAGGTTGTAGCGTTGGGGTATGGGGTGAAGACAACCCAGCAAATGCTTCTGCAACGGACGTCCTTACCTTGGCATCATTTTCTGGGTTAGGATAATGCTGGGTAATCCCACTTAAAGCCATGAACAAACTCCAACTTCACAATGAAGCCAACCAGTTTTACAAACCAGAGGAATTTCATTTGGCCTCACACTTGCAGTGGGAAAAGAAACACAAAAGAAGAAAAAAGCTGGCAGCTCAGCTAACAACCAATTAATTGCCTTCCGGACACACTGCCAGCTAAATCCAATTAAGAACATTAGCAGACTAATGACAGGTAAGAAGACAAAGGTTCAAGTGAAACAAGCAGCCAGGCAAACTGCAAAGTTTCCAGCTCTCATGGAGTCCCTTCGATTCAGGGGTGGGCAAAAGTAAGGTTACAGTTGTCTGTATGGAAAAAGATGTGCAAGTTATTACAATAGATTTATCAACTCAGAAGAACATCACAATGCAACTGTAAACCTACTTTTGCCCACCCCTGTATTTAAAAAAACACAGCAAAACATAAAGAGAGCCTGACTTTGTAAGCCTCCTTGCACTTCTAGGAACTACATAATCTCAGAACAAAATTCCATTTAAGTCTGAAGACACCTAGGGGACTTTCCTGGATATAAGAAATACCACAGGTTTGCTTATTAACGTTTATCCTGGAAATTGACAAAACCATGGCTTAGATGTACTTCATTTTCCCATCCTTCTCAAGTACTCCTGCCAAAGAAAGCAAACCAAAACAATGTGGTGAAAATTACTTGGGGATGCACTTTCATTTTCTCCACACCAAGCATTTTATTTTTAAGCCAAATCTGAAAAAGTCCTGCTGAGGCAGAGCAAGTGCCCAATCCTGCCCCGTGTGAGAAGTGCAGTGCCGTCCACTTACCTGTGATTAGCACAGCCTTTTGATCCACAGGTAACAACTCTTGGCCAGATAAGTAAATATACAAGAGGAAACATGACAAGGAGAAGAGGACGAAGCCCCAGAAGAGGGGTAGGCTGAGCAGGCAAACCACTCCCCAGAGACCTGCCAGGCAGACCATGTTTCTCCCGACTTGTCCTGGGCTCTTCCTGAGTTTGTAAAGAACGAGCCCTCCCAGCACTGCTGTGACAGCCAGGCAGAGCCACGCTGTCTCAGAGGACAGAGTGATCATTTTCAGAGACGCCGCTGCACCTTTTTGCGCTCAGGACAAGTGGGGAAAGGCTGGCTGGAGGCAGCCTGGGTTATATGAACTGAGAGCCAAAAAGGGAGGGAGGAAAACAGCCCTAACACATTCTGAATGAGCCTGAATTAATCATACTTATTCAGGCACATATTTTCTAGTGGGTAATTTAAACCAGTGTGCAGCTTGATGTAAATACCAGAGCACTTCCTATGCGATTATGGCCCCACGCCCACTACGCGCATGACACATGCATGTTCTCACCACAACAAATAAGCGTTCATTCTTTAAGGTCCTCTGGAGAGATAACTAGTTGAATAATTATTGACAAAATTTGATCTGAATGGTGAATTTCAAAACCTCTAGCTCCTAGGAAAATATGCTTCTTTAGGAGCCTGTGCTGTGTTTGTTAAATCCCTTTTCTGACTCGTACGCGCGCGCGTGCGTGCGTGTGTGTGTGTGTGTGTGCGCGCGCGCGCGTGTGAGAGATTGAGAGAGAGAGAGAGAAAGAGAGAGAGAGAGAAGCCAGGCAACCAGTAAAGTTCGAAAGATGGACCCTGGAGGGGGAAGGTATCACTGATCTTGCACAGGATTCCTGCCATCTGCCACCTGCCACCTGAGTCAGGCTAAAGGGTGGATGAAGAAGGAATAAAAACTAGGAGAGATTCATGGCAGATGAAATGTCCTTTGCCAGAGGGGAGATGTGCCTGGGTGAGATAATAACAATGATAATACAACTAATAGTGCCCCACACATACCTAATGGTATTTATTTGTGCCAGGGGTCATATTTAACTACTTATCCATTCATTCTCTCTATTGAGACCCTACTCTCTGCCAAGCTCTGTCCCAGGCTCTGGCACTCAACAGTCAAAATGCTCAGCCTCTTTGAATATAATATCCTTATAACAGTAGATTCTATCATTGTAATGATTTTACAGGTGAGACCACTGAAGCACAGAAAGGTGAAGAGACTTGCCCAAGATCACACAACACTGGAGTCAAGCAGCCTTGTTTCAGAAGTGTATGCTCTCTCCACTCTACGTACTACCTGTTCTAGGCAAAAAATAAGACATCAGTGTGTGCTGTACTAGTGCTTCCTTACCTTAGCCTTATTCAAACCTTAGGAAACACTTCAAAGTGGATATTATTATGCCCACTTTACGGAGAGGAAAACGGGGACTGAGAGAGGATAAGTAGTGGATCTGGACCCACGCTCATGACTCACTGGATCAAAAGCCAACACTCAGAGCTGTGACACCTTACTCACCACCTGCAACACTGCTGACTGTCACAAGAGGGCACTAAGCCACCTGGACTTATGGCGTGCCTAGTGTGTGCCAGGCACCAGAATTCCAATAAAGGTTGGGCATTGGCATATATGGAGAGATAAGAAAAGTTCTCACTTTGAGTTAAGATCACTTGTATTCAAACTCAGTCTTGCTCTGCTAAGATAGTACCCTATCTTAAGATACTGTGGCAGACACCTGCAATCAATAAAAGCCACAGGAGCTGTCAAGAAAATAGTGACACCACCCTCTATCCCGCCAACCCCCCTATCCCTGCTGAATTTATGGCTTAAAACTGGCAGAGACCAGCTCAATCCAATATGGCAACTAATTTCAACTAATGGTAACCTCTAGCCTCATTCTACACTCACTGTAATATAATAGTAAGCTAAATGACACACCCCAAGCTGCCCGGATCAGGAAAGGAAAACCAGCCCTAGCGGGGTGGCTCTTTTGGGTGACTCAGTTGATTGAGCATGCTCCTGTGCATCAAATTTTGAGGGTTCAATTCCCAGTCAGGTCACATACCTGGCTGCAGGTTTGATCCATAGTCAGGGCAGCCCCTACCAGAGGCAACTGATCAATGTATTGATGTTTCTCTCTCTCTCTCTCTCTCTCTCTCTCCCCCTTCCTCTCTCTGTAAAATCAATAAACATATCCTCAGGTAAGGATTTAAAAAAGAAAGAAACAGAAAGCCCACATAAGAACACAAAATGGCCAATGAAGCTTCTTTGAGAAATTTCTTTCCCTTTCCCTGAGAAGATCCTAAATATTCTTCTCCCTCATTGAATACCCTACCCCCAATTAAATGAATTTCAATAAAGGAAGCAAATTCTACCAGAGGGCGGCTCTGTCTGTGGAGTAGCCCATTCTCTGTCTCACTGCTTCACTAGCAAACTCACTTCCACTTTAAACTCTATGCTGGCTTGAATTTGAATTATTTCCTGTGCAAAGCCAAGAACCCACAGTGGGTCCTGGACCCTTGGGCCCCCTACCCAGAAACACCTACATCACATCCACGTACTCACTAGGTTGTCTTGAGTGGGTGATATCACTTGCTGAGACCCGCATCCCCTTGAAACTGGAAAAGTCAGCATTTGTGCTGCCTGTCATTACCAGGACCAAAAGTGGAGACAAAGACTGAATCATTATGGCCGCTTTATTCAGATGCTGGCATTCTGATAGTGGGTCATGTACCCTCAAGAACCATCTTAACATCTCATCTCAAGCCAACCTTTTTATAAGGAGAAGAAAAAGGTAAGGGATTTGGAAAACAGATTAATCAGATAAGAGTTGCGGTCCAGCTTCAATTTTCCTAGTATTTCTGTATCTGCTGATCTCAACAATTTTTTATCTGCATCACAGATGTTTCCTCCCTGGAACACATCAGCTCAGATACCATCTCAATTGATTGCTTGCAGACCCCCTGGGGCACAACAGTTAAATTGCCTGTTGACTTCCAGGAGTCACTTAGGTCTTGTATTCCAGTTCTTGGAATAACAGCTTTCTGTATACATTAATCACTTCCACCTATCAACTTTAACTACAGCTAAAATCTTTAACTCTTGAGTTCCCCTATCACCCTCAGCTATAAAGTATTAAAAATATCAGGATAAATCACTTAGCACATCCTTCCTAAGACACCAGAAAGAGCTTCATAAATGCTGGCATTAATAATTTGTGTTTTTTAAACAGAACAGTGTTGTAAAGGAAAAATAAATTATTCTCCCACCTTTCTAAGTTCTTGTGGTTGGACTATTAATCAAATTAACATGAGACAGATTAACAGGAGAAAATAGCCAAATGTATTGCTCATATACACTTTGGGGTTCTATAAGAATATGAGACCCCAGGACACATCAGGCATTTGAGGTTTATATGCCATATTGAGCTAAGGGGAAGTTGGAAGGTTGGGGAGTCCTTTGGCACTTTCAGGGGGAAGAAGGCAATTCATATGGGGATAGAAAAGCAAATGTTTGGGAAATAAATGTCCAATGGGCCTTCTGTAAGATTGGGACAGAGAGGACTTTGATCAAAAGGGCTAGAAGATAGCAAGCTAGGTTCCTCCCTTTCGATCATACCTAGTTCATATTAAACTAGCGTTATCTATAATAGCTCCCTTCCTGGAGCAGGTCCTCCAAATTCTTTTAAGCAGTTAGGGTGAAGGTTAGAAGTTTTTCCTGAGTCTTTTTTTTTTTTCAGATTTTATTTATTTATTTTTAAAGAGAGGGGAGAAGGCGAGAGACATAGGTCAGTTGCCTCTCACATGCTCTCAACCAGTGATGTGCCCTGACCAGAAAATGAACAAGGAACCTTCTGGTTCACAGGTCGGCACTCAATCCACTGAGCCACATCAGCCAGGGCTTCCTGAGTCTTTAGTTTCTTGAAGATTACAAGCTTAAAAGAATCAGTGTCCCAAAAAGCATATTTTTGGGGTAGCAAACTGTTTCCCCTCACAGGAAGAACAAGAAGAGTAAAATAAAGTACCCAAATGAATGTTGACTTGTCCCAAAATATGGAAGAAATTAGCAAATGTTGAGAAGCAAGGAGGAGGAAGAGAGACGCGGACTTCAATTATGGATGATCTAGGGGAGGCAGGACTATGGAGGAAATGTACCCAGCTTCCTATCATGTAAGGAGGTAGACAGTGCTTTGGACAGGGAGTTGGGGAGGCTGGCTCTGGTCTCAGATGAGCCTTTGGTGAGTCACTGTCCTTGGCCAGATGACTGTAAAGGAAGCCCATCTGGGCTCAGGACTATCTCAAGACCCAAGGAGACTGAGTGTGAACCATTCTATGCTCTAGGACTTTGAGGGATGATGACAAGTCATTCTGGAGGTCTCCCTTGGGGCCACGGCACCTCTTGTCAGCCCTTCCAGCCATGTAGACAGCCAAGGCAGGGAGATGTTGCCAGCTCCAGGTCAGGAAGCATAGGGGAAACAATCTGGAATTCCCTTTGGCTAACCCTGAGAGCTCCCTCACATCACCCCCATTTATTACTTTCAGCCCTGGGCACACCTATTCCAGGTGCAGGCACCTCTCCTGGCCTCTTGGTGGGAGGATTCAGAGCGGGCCTTTGCGTCAGATGGTTTTCCAGGTGAAGATAAAGGATAGTTCCTGTTTGCTCCTGGAGACCTCAGCTCTTTGTCAGTGGCTCCCACACTGTGGCTGGGGCCAAACACCCATGTGGTTTTCCTGATGGGTGCACGCTGCTAGAGATGAAGTGGGTCTTCTGCTGGAAGTCCACATGGCTTCTCAGTTGCTCAGTTGTGAGATTCCCAAGGAGAAGGCAAAACTTGTCTTGATGTTCAAGTCCAGGTAAGGATGATCCTTGTCCCTTGACAAGGGAAAAGGGTGCACAGTATTAAGAATACAAGCTTTAGCCCTAGCTGGTGTGGCTCAGTGGAATGAGCACCGGCCTGCAAACCAAAGGGTCACTGGTTTGACACCAGTAGAGCACATACCTGGGTTGCAGGCGAGGTCCCCAGTAGGAAGGCGTGTGAGATGCAACCACACATTGATGTTTCTCTCCCTCTCTTCCCTTCTCTAAAAATAAAAAATAAAATCTTAAAAAAAGAAATACGAGCTTTAAAGCCTCACAGAACTGAATTCAAATCTAGACCATGCCACTTACTAGTTATGAGGCACTGGGCAAGTTACTTGCCCTTCCTGAGGCTCAGTTTCCTTCTCTTCATAAAGGAAGCCCAGCTCCCTAGTGCCATTTTTAAAAGTGAATGACAT